GATTTTCAAAACCTTGATAATAACGCCTCCCATCTCCATCTGCAGCATGCAAAAATTGCCCATAGTTTGACAATAATAATGCCTTTATGAAAGCAACCTCCCACCTATTCCCTCCTCTCAAAACAGGGGAATAGTGTGAAGTGTGAAGAAAAGAACCCAAGAAGGAAAGGGTATTGCTTTTGAAATTTCATGTTTGATTAGCTGAGCTTGCCTATGCCATACGAAATTAGAAGCAAAATTCATAATTACTTGGATAAATTCATCAATACCCCTTTCAAAGTATAGTTTAATCTATATTTTGGTCCACGACTCTGAAAATTATGCTCGCCGTACTATTTTTGAATACCATTTCCTTTTCATATGTAATTGTTAAATAACAAAATTGGTGTCATATTTAGCCATGAAATGTTTGCTTTGGCTAACATCTTGGGTCACACAGTTTTATCTTTAAAAGGGCTTTATATATGTTCTCAAATCTTAGTGAGATCTAATATTACCTATGCAATGGATCTCGTTATTTGCAAACAATGTCCCAAACCTAGGGGGGCAAGTGTAGGTTTTTTAAATTATTGGACCGGAGTGTTCTTTTCCCATAGTTATGGGACATCATTATAATTTGTTCAAGCTGTCTCAATGTGGGGAAAACGGGAACAACTGAGTGATTGAGGACAGAAAGTGGAGAGGACAGAACTTAGACAGAGGCAAGTGTAGGAACAGAATAGTAGAATTGGAGATTTCTAAAAGGTAATCTCAATTTAATTCATCAACTCTTAAATTCCATAACTCTAAATCTCTAATACAACCTATATTTCAATAAAAAAAATTTAAAAACCTAAATTAGACTAAATTCTTAATTAAACTCCCAATTAAATCATAATAAAATCCCAATAAAGATGTTAGTACCTTCCTTTTCTACACCATTGAGCATCTTAGAGGAAAAGAAGAAAAAAATATTCTTTGATTTTGTGCTTTATTTTTTCCCTTTCTTTTCCTTTTTAGCATAGATCTTGCGAAAAGAAGGGGGGGTGAGAATAATGTGGCCATCAATTAAAAAACACGGTTTTGGAAGCTGAGGAAAAAGTCCAGGGACCATAGCCATTTGTTCAATCACATGGATTCAATTTTCAGTCTGCATCTAACAATCTTTGCTACCCTTTATTTCAAGCATTTATCCAGTTCCATGACATGGCCCTCAAAATAATAGGTGCCTCTGTGGTCCTGGTTTTGTACTAGCCACCCTTCTTTACCCCTCCCACTCTTACCTTCTTCTTTTCTTTTCCCTTCTCTTTCCCCCTCCCCCATGTTTTTCCTTTCTTTTAGTTCCTCTCTTTTCCACGAGAATAGATACTTTCCTAATTAAGTTACAACTCAAACGCAATATCTATCTTAGACAATCACAATCAAAATGGAAAAAGAAATTCAAAGATTAGACGAAATATTTTTTTGCCCTAGGAGAATTGAGTACTTTCCTACCTCTGATATGAATTAATTGTTGATGCTCTGAACAAGAACTTTAGAGTTTGGTGTTCATAATTGAAATAAAGAATCTTATGCCATATTTGATTATTTTGACCAATAATGGAAGTACCTTCCTACTGATTTCTGTAGGAAAAATATGGAACTTAATGCAACCCCAAAGGAAGGGAAAAACAGAGAAAGGAGTAAAACCCTAACTAATACTTGATACATTATAAGGGTTGATATTAGATCTGTTTTTGGGAAAGATTAGAAAAGCCAAAAGATTATTACAAGGAAATAGAAAACTGACCAAAGATTAAATGAGAAATGCTTCAATTTTTATTGTTTCTGAAATTCAGCTACTCATGGCTGATGATCCCTAGAAGGGACAGGATGATCATATATATAAAAATCAGGATTGCAGCATTTGCAGATTTCATTGTAAGTAGACATCACAAGTCATAATGAAATTAAGGAGTTGAATTGAGTTGGGTAGGGTTGTTCATTATTCATGTTGTTAATTAAAGTTCGATTCTTAAAAGAGATGATAAAAAGGTAATTTCTCGTGAAATTCTTTAGTTTTCGGCTTTCAATGGCATATTTAATTGTTAACTCTTCTCATCCACCAATCCAAAAAATACTGACACAGGAATATCTTGTAGCAAGATAGAATATGCTAAAGCAGCATTGATTGTGGGAGTGGAAACAGGAATTCTCATATGTGGTTCTTGAAATGCCACAAAAGTTACAAATATATTGAGTGTAGCACCAAAGGCAGTCTGGGTGCTCTAGAATCAATATTATAGAATTATAAAAGAGTAGGAAAATTCAGAAAGAATACTCATAATAAACCTAATAAAATTACTGTTAAATTAAAAAACATTCAGCATTAACTGGCTCTAGGACTATTAGTAATTAGAAAATTACCAATATATAAATTCAACTTTCTTATTAGGGAAAAAGTTAGTATATAGTTATTGCAAAAGTTCGAATGCTTAACTTGATTTTAGAATTAAGGTTTTGAAATTAGTGGTACACAGTTGACTCGGTTTTCATTGATTATGAGATTAAAATTTTGATATTAAAAGAAATGAAGGGGGGGATTGAAAGTTCTATTGGTTCTAAGGACTCAAAAATAGATAGCATCAAAATATAGAATATAACCTCAATACAAAAGGAAAAGGGGGTAAGAAAATGGCAAGTGGAAGTGAAGTTCATTTCTTACCCTTAAAGACTTAAAGTCAATATTATCTAATGATTATGTTGTTAAAGACATAATGCACCTGAAATCAGGATACTGTTGCAGAATACTGCAAATAAAAGGCAATCATGTGAGTAGTATGTGCCAATAGATGCCCAAATATCTACAAACAGCTGATGTAGGAAGATATCTAAATGATATTCCATCAGTCGGAATATAATTTTGCATATTATAGCAAGGCTGTTTTGAACAACAAAGATGTGTTTTTTAGTCTGAACGGCATAATAAAAGTGTAATCTAGAATATAAATTTATCAAAATACTCTCGGTGAAACTCTCGCACATGTTAACTCATTAAAGGTACCTTAATAATTTTAATGTCCGGTTGAAAGAATCTATAGCTGTATCTCCTTACGAGCAACCATAATATATGTACCAAAAACATCCAATTGGACCCAAAAACCTCTAATTTAAAAGTTTCATGCTTACCCAATCCTCAACGGCTCTGCATGTCATTAACTATTAGAACAATGCATTTTTTAATCAGAAACTTAGGTGCTATAGTTTTTGTGCTCGTTGCTATATATCAGACAAAAAATAGCTGGAGGGGGCCGCATTGCACCCATATCTGTCATATAATGTCAGCTTTGGCCTGAGTTCTTTCCTAGGCTAGCAATACCATACACCACATTCTAATGATTCAGATAAAGTTGCAAAACAAACCCCAAATATCTAATCTTTCACCTTCTCATGTTCTGTAATTTAGAAACTTGATCATGGCTGAAACCTTAAGTGACGTGCCTAATTAAAACCATTTCCTCCTTGAAGCCAAAAAAGGAGAGGGAGAAAAGAAAACCCAACCAAAAGCAATCAATATGATTCTATATTTATGGCAGATTACGCAAGGGGAAGTTGCAGACCTCTCATACTGG